CTTTTCACTCTTTACTGTCTCTTTCAAACTCAAGCGTTTTTCTGTACTTTTCTCTTAAAAACCCTTTTCTTCAAATTCTCATTTCTAAAGAACTTCAATGGCTTCTTCTTCTTCTACCCACTCTGAGCAATACATTGTACCTGAAAGGACAACTCTCATTCCGGTAGACAGTTTGGAAGTTTTGAGTGAGTTAATGGTAGACTTTGAGAATCTCAGAGAGAATGGTTTTGACTTATTCCCTGCTGTGAAGTTTCAAGGTTGGGAAAGCTTCTTTGATCGTCTCATTGGTTCAGTCTTTCCACATCTGGTGAAGGAATTCTGGATTCACGTTATTGCAACCCCCAAGGTTATTCTCTCCTTTGTAATGGGCAAGGAAATATCCATTACAGAAAATCAAATCAGAAAGTTGTTGGGGTTTAAAGGACTTGGAGTTACAGGAATGCCCAGTGGAAGAATGGAGATGTCCAGGGTATATTCAGAGATTTTCACAAACGGTCAAGGTTCCTCCAAAGTCAGGGATTTGAAAGAAAAATACAAGATTTTGGCAAGGATTATTCATGGATGTATTCACCACAGGAAAGACACCAGTTCTCCTGATTACATCAAGGCTGATAAAAAATATTTTTTGTTTTGTCTTGGAACCAATGTCAAAATTGATTTGCCCTACTTGCTATTTGAACATCTTTGGAACCATGTAAAAGAGACCAGAGAAGCTGAAAGGATGAAGAACCCCAAATCCAAGAGGAATTGAATTCCTATGGGGAGGTTAATATCAGACATTCTGACTAAGAAAATGTCTTTTGCTTGGATGTTTTGTTTGTACTTCTGGATATTTATTTTTTAACTTTTTTATGAAATCTTTTTTATTAAAATTTCACATTTATTTGTTTTACACTTTTTGATTATGCCAAAAAGGGGGAGAAAATGTGCATTCTTGAACTAATCACTATTTAACAGTTATGGGACTAAGTCTCAGACATTCTAACAAATTTGCAAGAATTACTTCTGTGCAAAAGAATTTTTTTTGCAGGTATCACTTTAACTCTGAAAGAATATTCCAGCTGAATATTATCTTCTTGAAGAAGTTCTGAAGAAATCCAAGAAGACTTTGTATTGCTCTGATAAAATAATCTCAGGATATTTTATACAGAAATATTCATTTTAGGGGGAGATTCTTATCTCTTATCCGTTTCTTTTCTTTATCTAAAATATTTTTTTTTGTCATCATCAAAAAGGGGGAGATTGAAAGAACAAGATTAGTTCTGACCTATCTCAAGAGTTTTGATGATAACTAAATTATATTTAAGATAATTTATACTCTGATGAATGTGTTTGAATGTCTCAGTTAATGTTCTAACAGAAAACATTCTGAAGTGCTAAGCAAAAATTATGTAGATGTTCTTTGATAAAAGAACCTTTTCTTCAAGCGCATCTTCTGACTCTGGTAAGACACTTTATTTGTTAAATATATCTTCTAACTTTTAGCAGGTTCCTTGCTCAAAAGATAACTTGAAAGCAAGCGTTGTTCAAAGTTCTTAGCAAGCAACACACTACCTAGAAGATGAGTGAAGCATGTTCTGACTTAAAGACATTGGAGAAAATTCTGAAATAACGTTAAGATCAACTTGTCTTGTCAAAGCAAAGGAAATATGTTCTTACATTCTGTCGTTTGCTCATTAATGCAAAGACGGCTGAAAGCACTCAAGTGCCTACAACTAGTTTCTTGGAAAATGGAATATTGCAAGGAAACACGCAAGCATTTAATGCTCTCCAACTTTTTTGAAGGCAGCAACGGTCTTATTGTTCCTACTATAAATATAAGGACATTTATTGCAAGCCAACAACTAAGTGAACCAATCAAATTTTCAAAAAGAAGCAAGAAACTACGTGAAAGATCCTAAGCTCACAAACTCATTGTTTATACAATTTGTGCATTACATTCTAAGTGAAAAATCACAGTTGTGATATAGCTTGATTAGAAGCAAACTTTATTTCATTATCTGTAAAGATTAAACTCCTGTATTTGTTCCTTGAGAGACCAAGTTTGGTCAGATTTCTCAAGCAGACTAGGACTAGATTTAAGTCTTAGTGGTGTTAGTAACTTGTAAGATTACTTGTGCATTGTTAGTCACAATAGTTGCTGTGTGTTTGTAATCAATTGATTATAGTGGATTAAGTCCTTGTTGAGAAAGGCGAAATCACCTTGGCGGGTGGACTGGAGTAGTTTGAGTTCAAACGAACCAGGATAAAAATAACTGTGTTCTTCCATTATTGTTTGATCTTTGTTTAGAAAAAGAAAAAGGTCACTTATTCAACCCCCCCCCCCCCCCCCTTCTAAGTGTTTTCTTACCCCTTCATTAACTTTGTCACCTGGTGGACTGATGGGCCTATCCTGACTTCCTTTAGGTTCTTCTTGGGCATGATCCTTTCATTGTCCACGCCCAACCTGAGATCCCAACTATCAATGTATGCATCTAACGCTCCGGGGGAGGGGCGCCCTTAAGGGTGACCTCTTCCCTTCTTATCGTCGTGCTACTCTAATAATATTCTTGGGCAATTTAGTGGTATCCTCGAACTTATCCTGATTCACTCACTATGTTACAGTAATTTTAGGACCAGGTACTTGATGGAAATAACTGCCCCTAACAAATTTATGGTGGGTTGACTCAAGATGATATTGAGCCACATATCGTCCACTATGAGATAGCTTACTTCAATCGCCTTTGAGTATGATCCCATGTCGCATGTTGTCTCTAAGGTTACATGACCTCTCACTTGCACCCGCTTTCTTGACAATCAAGAATAGGATGTCAACAGAACTCACGAGATCTATCAAGACTCGCTTGATATCCTAGTTGTCGTGTTGTATAGTGTTAACCATGGGGTTGTTATCGTGAGGAATAATTCCAACGAAGTCACTGTTAGAAAAGATAATGTTGGCCATTGGTTCTCCTTGATCGCTCTTGGAGAATCCATAGAATATTAAGTTCGTTGTCAACATGTGCCTTGCGTATTTCCCGAGGGAGGAGTTGGAACTTCCTCCACTGGCGAAATAGACTATTCTGGTGTTAACCACAAAGTTTGGAGCTTTTTTGGCCATCTTTAAGAGAAGTTAGGGAAAATGATAATGATGAAGGTGCAACCCAGGTTAATTTTAACGGGACCCTATAATGTGCGTCATTGTACTTGTCAAAAAGTACATGAGTGTGTGATACCTCTAAGCTGGTAGGGGTGACTAGAGGCCTTTGTAAGTTTCTGGTGGTTATGGTTTTTCCGCAGCGGCGAAAGGCCTTATTTGGTGGTGTTTTTGGCTGTGGAGAAAACAAGCTCATGTGAGGTGAGAAGTTATGTGTTATAATTTTGACGTGAGAAGCTATGTGTTTATGTGATATTTTGAGTGTTATAGAGGCTATAAGGTCCGTGATTTCTTTGGAAATGATATTCCTCCACTCAGTCAGTGGTGGACCGTTGAATCTTATTTTCTAGAGAGACATGAATCAGGTTATTGACCCCGACTTCTCTTTGAATGAGGAATGTCTTTTCCCACATTTCTCCTAGTTGGGCGAGTAAGGGGCATTTAGGAGCGAGCTAACATAATGGCGGGTAGCATATGGGCGTCGCCGTACCCGGGGGCTGCAACTCTTCTGGCCTTACTAGGTCTTTTACGAATATATCATTATAAACTGTATTATCATATTTTATTTTTGACATTTATTCTTAAATTGTCAAATTGAAACGATTGGAGAACAAGGAGTCAGAGAAGTAAAAACAATTGCAGATGGACTCGAAATTACATGGAAAATCGTCAGAAACATAAGATATTGTTCACGGTGACCTTAAACTATTACTTGGAGATAAAGAGACTAAGATAATAACTTTTTCTCCGTACGTTCATACTAAACTATTGGATTAGTATTATGAACTAGTGGTTGGTTGATGTAATATTATTGTCTTTTAAAAGAATTCATGTTTTAACGAAGAGCAGTGCTATTTAGTACGGAAGAATTTGAGTAAGAAACACAAGAATGTACATGTATCATTAATTTAGTGGATAATTTTTAATTTGTTATAAATTAAATTTCTTTTTTAATAGAGATTATGAGGTGGTTGCTATAAGGAATTGTTGAGATTTATTTTTGTCTTTTCACTTTTCTTACAAATAAACATTTTTCTTTAAGAAATATACGTGTTATAAATTAAGATGTTCTTTAGAATTTGTTTTGAACGTGTGTTGTGATTTTGTCATTATTGTTGATTAATAGGAATGATTCATTGTGTCAATTAAGGGGGATTCACTTGAGTCAATTGTGACGTTTTGTTTCTAGGTACCAAAATATGCATGCATGCTAACTCATCTCGTCGTCTTTGGGATAATTGTTATAAGTCATTCTTGAGATCCATTTGGAGGGCTTAATATGCTAAGTGAATAATGACAAATTGTTGGAAGACATAGATTTTGAATTCTTGAAAGGCTGTACAGTGATTGTTGTGCTGCAATATGAGGGGTGTGTTTGTAAGTGTAAAAATTTGCTGAGACAGAATTATGGGACATATTTAAAGTTCTCTCAATTAGAAGGTTTTACAATGGTTCAGATGAACTAAATGACATCAAGGACTTGAATTCAAGCGAAAGTTATGTTTTGCTATTAAGGTAACAGTGATATTTGTTTAGGATAAAAATCGTGATTTATATTATTTCAAAAATGAAAAAAGCAAAAGATATTTTTTAACAAGAAAAAACATAAAAATCTCCCAAACATAGTCAGCTAACAAGACACCGTAGCATATTAAACGCATCAGCCAATCATAACAACCTATTACTTACAATTCAAGATGCACTAAAATCTTCTAACAAAGAAGCACATTCATGACCAGACTCAACAAACATAAACCAAAAGATAATCAAGTACTACTAAACTTGGATAGACCTAACTTGAAGTGTTCTTCTATGAATAAAACAAAATATATCATAAATCAACTAGACATATTCCTGAAAACATTCACTCAAAAGCCCACTGGTTTTCACGACGAACTTCCTCCTCTTCCTCTGGTGTGAAGTCATTCTTTATGTTGAAGGTCCTACGGATCTCTTCAGGTGTCTTTCCTTTGATCATGTCTGCTACAGTCTGGCATGTAAGATCAAGCAGGTTCTTGATGTTTAAATAGTTAGCAGCCTAAAAAAGAAAAATGACATGTAAGTTAGTGATTATAAAGACTTACCGTGCAATGAAAGATAAACAAAACTGCATTTGCTACAAGTAACCCAAGTAAACACAACAAACATTGAACTCAGTAAAGTAATAAACACAAAGGAAGTCATTGTAAGTGAATCTATGTTTATAAGTTTATAAGTCCAAAAATGAGAAGAAAAAAAGGGTAATGTTAGTTTAAAACTGAAATACTGAGACAGCCAAAAATAATGCCAACAAAACATAAAAGAGTTGATATTTTATCCATTCAAGTTTTGTTATAGATATGTATTCCAAATACCAAACACTGATTTACACTTTATAGAGGAGCTTGATCCCAAACAAAGGGGATGTGAAAACAGAAAGAACATCAGAGTTAACCACCAAATGCATAAGGGAAAATACAATAGGGGTAAGAAAAAAACAAAATTTGAATGGTAGTCATTCACCTACGACTGCTACTAGCAGTGCTATGACGGGCCTTCGTTAAAAACAAAAGTACAAAACAGAAAACAAAAACAGTAAATAGCAAAGTAACTAAAATACTTAACTGATAACCCCACATTGGACTTGGGAATTGGAAATCCCATGATACTTACCCAGTCATCATCACAGTTTCTTATCAAACAAGAAAACACAAAATACACCTGAATGTTACCATTCAGAGATTTCAGGTTTAGGGCAAGAAACATAAGCTAAGGAAGTTAAAATTGTGGACATATCATTAGCAATTTCCGACCACTTCAAAATCAAAAAGCAAACAATTGCAGTGGTAGACCATAATGATACACCCCAAAAGAAGCACAAAGATGATATAAGAACCAACAAGAATAAAACCAATTGTATCCACACAACAACTGCACAAAGTAAGTTCAATAACACATCACAGTAACAACTATATGCATATTCCAATCAACAATTCAACAAAACCCTATAATCTTGTAACCAAAATTTTTCACAACTATATCCATATTCAATTAAAATTTTAAAAAAAAACCTAAACTTGCAACCAAAGTTTTACACGACAAAAACAATTCAACAAAACAAGAATCAAATATATTCAAGAACAATCGTTAATAAAAAAACTCACCAATATGAGGTCAAACAGGGTAACCTGATCAACCTTAACAAACTCCGCATCCCAAGCTTTAAGTTCATCCTCACTAGGCTTATCATCAGCAGCCGCAGCATCAACATGCTTCTTACAAAACTCAATCACCTTCGCCAAAATCTTGCTGGTGACATTCGGAAGCGGGATTCCACTATCAGCACAATCATCTTCAATCATGTGTTTTATAGTTTGCGATTCCAAAGCCACAGCTTCGTCAACCTCAAACGCCTCGCCATCAGAGCTCTTAAGAACGATCTTCTTTGTTGAAGCCATGTCGATCGAAATTCGATTTGGGAAATTTTCTGAAAAGTGAAAACCCTAACCCCAATTTGTTTCTTTCCTCGAGTTGGAAAATTGTGAGCTGTGAATTAAGAAGACGTGAATGCTTTATTTATAGAGGGTTACGAATTGCAATGGGTAAAGATTTTTTTTTTTGTTCTTATTGAGTTATTAAGATTTGATATTTAAATTAAGAGTATTTGTTATTCCACTCTATAAAGAAAAATTAAACCTTATATAATTTTTATAATGTTCTTTTAAAACTAAAGTATATTTCTGATACATATTTTTTTTTTTTAAATTTGACTTAAAATTGAAAGTATAGTTCTGATTTTAAACCGACAATATATTTTCGGTTCTGATGTTGTAAGTAACAGAAAAAACAGATTTGCAAATAAATATATTTCTCGTTTTTTCGCATCACAAATTAAAACTTGCACAAACCATACACATCAGAGTTGTATTTCTTTCTAAAAGGTAAAACACAAGTCTTTTGTGTGTGTTGAATTTGGAATTTCAATCAAGAGCATTCTCGACTTACTTCATGTAGTGCTAAAAATTTCTTTATAATTAAATGAAGTGGTTGCTATGATTAGTTATGCAGATTTCCATGAAATAGTTGTACTATCAGACGTAAACAAACCATCTCTATGATGTATCATTATAAAGATTTGACAAATAATGTATTTCTAAATAATCTGTTAAATATAATTGGGATACTTTGGAATAAAACAAACCCATGTTCATTTACCTTAAGGTAACAAAGTATATGTTGGACTTTGTTCAAATGTTTTCGTGTAAGTGAAAAACTATATATTACTAGTAGAGTTATAGAAATTAACATATCATGGTGAGTATAATTAACAAGATGGATTAGTGTTTGAATTACACTAGGATATGATACTTCATGACCAATTAATTTTTCATCATCTTCTCGATGTCTAAAAGAATTGTATGTACATCTCACGATCTTATAAGATTTGTCCTTATAGAAACATTTTAACATTTTTGCTATATATGAGATTTACTCATATAAAAACGTTTTAACATTCTGCTATATATCCTTCTTGGTGAATAAAAGTTCTACTGTCTAAATGTTCATTTAGTAAAGACCTTTTCTTTCCCAAGTATTTTATTTCAAATAATTTCCTTAAAACTTAATAACTTTTGAAATTTTTTCATGAGTTTCAATAATTTTATGTCATCTACACAGATAACTATTATAAAAAATTATTTTTTAGAACTTTTCATAAAAATACAAAGACTTGTGGACTTATTTGTATATCTCTCCCTTAACAAATATCATTGAAACAATTATATCACTTGTTCATGTTTTCCTTCATAGTATTCCATTTGTTTTCCTCCATTGGACAACGGGTCTGATGTACCATTTATGATATGATACAATATGTATTACCTATAGTTTCCTTCGTTTACCGGACATAAGGGACAATATACCGTATATTCACGAGTTATAGGAAGTTGTGTAGACTTTGTTGGTATTATCTTATCAGGATACGAGTGTGTAATGAATATATCTATGAGATTAATATACCCTATAGATCCGAGCAAACTTATAAGATAGGTGGACTCATTGAGATTTAGTATTTTCACTCTAATATTGTTGATTATTTTCAGGTAGCTCGAGGCAAGGCAAAGGCAAGGGTAAGATTCTTAATTGACTTGAAGATGTGTCGGTGCAGATCTTTTGGTGTATTTTGAGCTTTTTAACTTTATCTTTTAGTATTTTCACCCTAATGTTGTGTTTTTGGACCATGAAGTATTCGATTTTTGTACCTTGTACTAATACTTATCTTGATTATGAGATTTATCTAGGATTTTCATGTCATATATTACATCACTACATATTATTTTAGACATATTATAAAAACAAGGCTAATAGTAGTAGATCAATATCAATAAATAATTTTCATACCAATAAATCACTACATAGTTCACGTACATTTTTTAATTTTCTTACATCATCAAAACTCTTCATAACTATTCAATGTTTGGTGGTAAAACTAAGTGTTATACTAACAAAAACTCACCATCTAAAATAATTCCTCAAAAATATGAAGATCAAAAGAGGGAGAAATTGACATTTACTAATATTTCTATGCAATTTTTAGCTTCCTGGAAGAATTTGATTGATTAATTTGGAGATGGTTCTAATGGAGTTATAGAACCAATGAAAGTAGAAATCAAAGAGTTTCTCTACTTGGCGTGGATGACACACTAATCTACAAATTTGCTTCTGAGTTCAGAATTTGATAAAATTTGAGAATTGGATTACTGATTTTTCAGACCTTGAATCGGCCACAAAAATGAAAGAGCCACTGAATTTGAATAGAAAGAATTAATCCGAATACAAGATAAGAAACAAAAATTGGGTTTTTAAGCCAAAATCGATTGCCCCTTTGACAATTTAAATTGATAATGAGAAACAAAATACTGTTAGTTGGTCAAAATAGAATAGTCTAATAAAACAATCAGTTAGACCAGAACATTTGATTATTTTGCTGTAAAACCCTGGTTAACAGAAAACATCACATGGGAAAGCAAATTGTTTTTAACCTTGTTAAGAGGTGTAGAGATTATCACGAAAAATTAAGCTGCCTTATTGAATTCAATGAACCTCACATACCAAACACACGTTTTTGCTCATCAATCATCATAAACAACTATTACTTACATTTCAGACTGCACTTAGTTCATAAAGGAAGATAAAGCTGTTCAGTGAATATAGTTAACACTCAGCACAAATAATCCAAAAGATAAACAAGTACTTAACATATAACATAGAGAAATTTACATTGCGGATCTTCCATGAATAAACAAATAAGCATAACAAATCCACATTGCAAATCTTTGTTTATTAAGAGCATCATTCAAATGCCCATTGGTTTTCCCTGCGGACTTCCTCCTCTTCCTCAGGACTGAAGTCATTCTTAATGTTAAATGTCTTGCGGATTTCCTCTGGTGTCTTTCCCTTGATCATGTCGGCTACCGTCTGGCATGTCAGATCAAGAAGGCTCTTGATGTTCAAATAGTTTGCAGCCTACAAAGAAATAAATGTCAAAGCAAATATCAACAACCTCATCCAACAAAAGACTGCAGAAGTAATGAAAATATGAGAGTAAAAGGCAATAGCAATCAGAGAATGCTGAGTTGCAACAGCAATAGAAAAGGGTGAAATACATTAGTCATCAAAGAAGCCCAGAACAATGATTAGAAAATATATCATAATCAACACTTTGATTTTCTAATCAATAATCCAGATCTCTAAGGTTTGATTGACACACCTATAAGGAATCACTTTTAGGCACCAACTTTACAGTAATGTGAGAAAGGGAAAAGGGAAAAGGTAAAATACAAAAGAGAGATCATTGTAAGTCTAAATAGAGCAGAAACCTCGACAAATAAACCCACAACATTGTTTAAAAGATTATCAATAATCTACTTGAATTACTCATCAATAATCCAGATCATCAGGGGGGGGGCGAATTTGAGTTGAGAAAACACTTTACGCCTTCAGTTAGTTTAAAAAGCAACATTTCAAACATATAATTATGTACAACTATAGGGAAATCATTCATATTCCGAAAATCTAATACAAGCAGTCAAAAAGACACTTTATCTTTCAGTCAACACAACTTTAACATGTTTACACTAACCAGTAAAAGACTGTGAAAACAGAATACACAGCGACAATAATGTTATATCTAACAAAATTTTATACTCAAACCAAACATGCCCTTTATTATCAGTGAATGTCTCAATAAAAAATGCATAACTATATACATCATGAAATGTCTGATTGTTTCAGCCACAGATCAACTATTGATTAGTAAACTTATCAAAATTAAACAAAACTCTCATTTCATCTTGAGATGAACCTGCAAGAACTTTAAAAATACAATTATGGTATCAATTATAGATTAATAAAATGTTCAATTTTGTATCCAATCTTCAACATAAAAGCCACCCACAAGGAAATATTATAAAGTTCTCAAGCTTAACCTAAAATACAGACACCCATATAGATTACCGCAAAGATTACACCCCTAAGCTACTTCTTTGTTCAAAAAAGAACAGTTTCACCGCAAAGATCGCCCTTGAATTATTCTGGTAAAAAATTACAGCTCTAAACAGTTCAAACAACTCGCTAACTTCATCATAGGGCACAATAATTAATCACAAACAAATAAAACAAAGAATAACACCAAAAAATAATCCGCCAAAGAAACCCTAATTTTAACCCCAAAATCATGAAACACCAACACATACAACACGAAATCGATAAAACAATGATTAGATCTAAAATTAGTCAAGATAATAACTCACCAGAATGAGATCGAACAACGTTGCCTGGTCAACCTTGACAAACTCAGCATCCCAAGCCTTGAGTTCATCTTCAGAGGGTTTTTCATCAGAACTAACCGCATCAACGTGTTTCTTACAGTATTCAATTACCTTAGCAAGGATCTTGCTGGTAACGTTCGGAAGAGGAATTCCGCTGTCGGCACAATCATCTTCGATCATGTGCTTGATTGTTTGCGATTCCAAAGCCACCGCCTCGTCAACCTCAAAAGCTTCGCCGTCGGAGCTCTTGAGAGTGATTTTTCTTGGGGAAGCCATGGTGGTGATTAGGGTTTTGAGGTGAAAATTGGGAAATGGCGAACGCTCTTTTTAAAATTGTGATCTTGAAATTGTGAATGACAGAGATTATTAAGGGAAGAGTCTATTTATAGGGGAAAAAAATTACTTTTTATTTATTTTTTCTTATCTAATCTAGTAGATTTTTTGAGAATAGGTTTGATTATTATGATGGCTATGATTCTTCTACGTGTCAAACAATTATTGGGTAAAACATTTTATACAATTTTTTATTCACACTTGAGTTAATTATTTTTTAAATATAAAATCTTTTTATTAACAAAAGAAGAAGAATTAGCAAATCAAAATTACTACTAGCATGTTCTATAATTTCG